TGCATCCGTTCTGCGGTGGTATGACTCACGGCAAATTGCAGCTGCGGCGCGCACTTGATTGTACGCACTGTATATGGAGTGGGACCTAGAGACTCATGTAGGGATCTTTTTAAGAAACTGAATATACTGCCATTGTCATGTGAATACATTCTCTCGTTGATGATGTTTGTTATTGATAATCAAACTAAATTTTGTTCAGGTTTAGATGTTCATGGTTCGAATACAAGAAATCAAAAGCAATTATATTTGCCAAACTCGAATCTTTCTGCTTTTCAGGTACTATGTTTACCACTATTAAACTATTCAACAGATTGCCCATAACCATTCAGAGCCCTAAGGAGGACAGAATTAGTTTTAAAAATAGGCTGTCTTTATATCTTATGAATAATCCCTTTTATACAGTTTCTGAATATATGGAGCATAATATAAACAGTTAGTTTTAATTATTCTGTTATCTGTGTGTCTGTTTAAATTTTTTGTATTTATTTTTTTGATATGATGACTTCCATGTCCATTTGTTTTGGACTTATCAAATGTATGTATGTATGTATGTGGGAATAAGGGATGCTGATGCAATGTATCTAAGGCCATGTATAACCAATTCACCCCACAGTCCTCATCTCAGTTAGTGAAATCAACCAGATCCACTGATTGTTCTAATAAAGACGGCCAGGTCTAAACACACAGGCAGTATAAGATCTTATAAAAAGTAAAGCTATCCCTGTACCAGGCTGTGAAGGCCCATAAGGTTGTGAGACGTTGAGGGTCCCACATTATGTAGACAATCAGCTCAAAGATGGCGGTAAGGTGGTCAGCCTTACGCACCGGCCACACTTTACTCCCCAGGAAAATTATTTAATTAATTCCTGGTACTCATTTCTGTTAAGAGGCTGAGTGGACCCCAGGGCCTAATGCGGCTGGAAGGATTAGATCAACTGAAAAGAATCCAATGACCTCATCGGGACTTCCAGCTTATTGTATCTGTAATAATGTGATCATAGAATGTGAAACTTTTAAGAGCTTTCATACTTAATTAAACGTCCCTGAATATGGCGGATTTCCACTGAAATTTTTATTAAATAAATTTATTATGTAGTTGTATCAGATGGCTCTATTAAATTCACTTACAGTGAATGCTTATGTTCATACAGTGTACCACTGTGGGAGTAATAAAGGGTGGTCAAAAGAGTTTTGGTTTGTGACCCCACGTAACGACTCTGACTGGATTCCTCATTTGGCTGTATTTGGAGATCTTGGTAATGAAAATGGACGGTCCATTCCACAACTGCAGGAGGAGGCACAGCGTGGCATGTATGATGCTGTGTTTCACATTGGTGACTTTGCTTATGACATGGATTGGGTATGATATTATCATAACGGCTGTTGTTCTAAGTCTTGCAATCCTACATCTTGGGGTGTAAGCTGCATAATTTACAGTATTAAGCCTCAGCTTGAATGTGGTTGAAGTTTATGAGATTACTGAGCCTGTTTACGCTGAAAAACACCTAAATACTTAAGTTAATATTACATTAAAACTCATTACTTTTTATTTATTTGTGGTTCATTTAATGGAAATAGTTAGCACCACATACCACATATTGTTGAATGATAGCATGACTAATAAATAAAGAATTGGAAAGGTTATGGAAGGAAACTGTCATTGCCTGATTTGAGGTACTGTCTTGATATTTACCTGAAGAGACTGAGGAGAACCATGGTAGTTGGTGTCTTGGCCTAGTCTGAAACTGGTCACCTATCTAATGCAAGCCAGGAGAATCACTGTTTGAACCAACTTGCTTGGTAAAAGTAATTGTCATCATTCTGTATTTCAGCATCCCATTGCAAAGGTTCACATTAGCGTCCATTTGTCTATATCTGTCTAAATTGCAACACTTGTTTTACACTTCAGTAACTAACAGATAACTAACGTGAGGAACAAGCTGCCGGGGGAAACATTTTAATATGTTTTACAGAAGTGACGACACCCTGAGTGAAGTGAAACAACAAATTATAAAAGAATTTTATCTTGTTTTAATTAAAGGAGGACTGCAGCGTGTGGTTTTTAAAATGAATTGGAACAGCGAAACAGTGTAGCAGTTTAAACAAGGTTTTGATTGATTATCTGTAATAAAACACCTGAAGATGGCCCTTTGAGGCCAAAACATGTAGTGTTAAGTGTTAAAGAATATATTGAAGTGTAAAACAAGTGTTGCAATTTAGACAGATATAGACAAATGGACAGTAATTCTCATCATTGTTTGAATATAGCCAGTTAACTCTTTACCATGTCTACAACTTGCTGTGAGACACATTATTTGCATCTTGGTACATTAAGTATGGCAGAAAACATTTAATTTTACCACATTCTGCTGTTTTAGTCATGGGAAAGGCTTAAGTGTGCTAATTTTAAGTGTTTCACTGTGCAGGAGAATGGTCGTGTTGGGGATGACTTCATGAACAAAATTCAGCCAATTGCTGCATATGTTCCTTACATGACAAGCCCTGGAAATCATGAGGAAGCCTAGTAAGTTCACATTAACACAGTCACGGCCACACCATTATACTGTGATTTTACATGCTGGGCAGGCCATGTTTACGTTATTACAGTCAAACAGATGTGGCAAATAACAAGTAAAAGGCAATAAAAATTGCTGTATATTTCAACTTGAAGTTTATACAAGCTTCACTTTAAGTTCTGTTACATATGAGCAACATCTGTAGAAAGGAATGGTATTTATATACACAGATGGCAGCAGCCTGTAACTTGATGGGATTAGCATTGGAACACAGTAAACTTGAAGCCCAAGCATGGCTAGACTGAATGCCCCATAAACCTTGCCCTAAGCCACAATTTTCTGTAAGCGCTCAGCTATGCTGACTGCAGTGCTTTTCAGGAATGTAACCTCCGTGGTTTGTGTGGAATAACTGTATAAGTAAAAACTCCTTCCTATTTTCCATTTACCGAGTTACAATTTCTGATACAACTGTCTCTCACAAATGAAGTGCATCCAATAAAATAAAACAAAAACGCAAAGAAATATTCTGTAGAACATATTACTATCAGGAGCCAGAATAACTTAGTAGGGGACTAGGCTGTGGCCTGAGGACAAAGGCATCAGGGTTCATGGGCAGAGATTTTTCTCTTCTCCACATTGATAGTAAGTTTCTATAATATTTTAGTATATATGTATGTCAATTCGCTTGTGTTTCAGTAACTTCAGTGATTACCGAACACGCTTCACAATGCCAGGCAACGCAGAGGGCCTGTGGTACAGTTTCAACATGGGTCCAGTGCATTTTATATCTGTTTCAACTGAAGTGTATTACTTTTTGGAGTATGGTCTCAAACTACTTACAAACCAATATTCCTGGCTTGAGCAGGATCTTAAGGTACACAGAACATTAACTGTTTCATATTCTTTGTCAGAAGGCTTCCAACATCATAATTGGCATTTATAGACCCACTGTCAGAATCCTTCTGTCCTGAATGTTATGTGACTGCATGCTATATACTGTGTTTTTGCTGCTGATAGCAGGAGTTTTGTATTGTCCCATACCAAAGTGTCTTTTTGTTTACATTTTTTTCACAAATTGATTTGTAGCTGGTAGGAGTGAGGTTTGAAATGAAAAGACTGGAAAATGGTCATGACAGGCCATTATTTAAGGTGTGTAACATTGCATCTACATCAGTTTGTAAGCTGGGCAGTTAACTTTTATTTTTGAAACTTGTAAATAGCATAATTGTTCAGATTTGTTTGAAGCATGAGCCTATCATGTAAAAAATTATTAAAGAAAATTGTAACAGTTCTTATGGAATGTAGAAAGACACAAGCTTATGATATACAAGACTGTAATTTTACCTGTTACTTTGTATTGGTGTGAAAACTTGATCTCTAACATTAAGGGGATGAGACTGATTCATGATACTGGGAGCAGGGTGCATAGAAGAATATTTTGACCCATGGCAGGAGGCTGGAGGGATTTGCATAATGAGGAGCTTCATAATTTGTATTCTTCACCATATATTAGTAGAACTAGCATAAAGCCCATTTCAGTTTCAAGAGAGTCCTGAGGATAGGGTTAGTAGTTTCCTCCAAAATGCTGGTACCAGTGTACCCAAACTGCATTGCATCACAATGTAGAAAATCAGGACTTAAAATAATTATTTTTATGTGGTACAGTACAGTAAATTCCCAGTTATCCAATATCCAGACATCCATAATTCTCATTCAGCTGGCAAAATTTTCTAGGAAAATTTGCTGGTTTTGTATCAAAAGCAGATTTGTCACCAATGTACGAGGGGGGACCCAAAAATAACCGGAACCGACCTGTTGCGTGCGCATGCTTCGTAGTTACGAGTTGTGCTGCTAGGTGGTGTTTGCTGGGGGTCTCCCGCGACTGTTAGTGAGCTGGCTTCAGTCTGAGTTAAGTGGTTTGTCTGTGGTGCTCTGTTGTGTGCGTTCCTGTTTCAACCCTTTGGCGATTAGTGAGATGGCCGACCAGAAGGAACAAAGAGTGTGCGTGAAATTCTGGATCGTTCTGCACTTCACTCTTCAAGTTGCGGCAAACATTCATGCGGTTTTCTCTTTGGTCATCTCCGAGCAAGCGTGGAACAAATTTTGCAGACACCCGTCTCATGTGCAAACCTTCGGTTAAAATTCGCTCGACCGTGCTCCATGAGANAAACCACTTAACTCAGACTGACGCCAGCTCACTAACAGTCACGGGAAACCCCCAGCTAACACCACCTAGCAGAACAACTCGTAACTACAAAGCATGCGCACGCAACAGGTCGGTTCCGGTTATTTTTGGGTCCCCCTTCGTATATTCACACATCATGTCATAGTTCCCCCATCCACCACTAGTAACACTACCTGTCATCCTCCTTCATACAGGTCCCATTACAATGGGGGCTAGTTGAATTTGTGATCAGGATACATGTCTGAAATCTTTCACCCATCAAACCCCTGTATCACCTATGAAGACGCCCATGCATGAGAATGTATTCTCAACAGGATTTATGGAAGGTGAATAAATGAAATGAGAACTAAACTGAAAATATGTTGTTTTGATTTTGTATTGGATATCTATAAGATAATTTGAAAATTTGGGAAAATTATATTTCAGAACTATATGATCGGCCTAATCGGCCAGAAACCTTAGAAGTTGAACCGGAAGAAGAAGTAGATACAGACGAGAAAGGACCATATATTTTACAAAGTGAGGTGGAAAAGGCTATCAAGGCAGCGTCATCAGTAGCGACTTGAAGCACGGAGCAAATGATGCTCGAGATGGTTTAAGTTCGTATAGCAGCAGGCGTGACCAGAGTGGTTTGAACGGCTGCTGTACTGCGATGTGGAAAGCAAATGGAAAAACTACCACATTATCACTTTTCCTGGATAGTCTCTTTCCAAAAACAGAGATACCATATATGCGAGATGTTTCCTCTGGAGGCAAAACAATCCGGAGGTAAACTACTCCCCCAATCGGATCTCCGGGGGGGGATGTTTCTAGAGGAAATGTCATGCAGGCGTTACAACAAGAAAAAGTGCGAAGATCAGAAGAAACAGCATGGATACAAGATTGGAACATGGAATGTCAGGACCTTGAATCAAGCAGGAAAATTGGAGAATTTGAAAACGGAAATGCAGAAGAATGAAGTGTCTGTTCTAGGTGTCAGCGAAGTGCGGTGGAAAGGACAAGGTGAAATAAGAAGCGGTGATTATACAGTGTATTATTCCGGAGGTGAACGGGCTGAAAGAGGTGTGGCAATAGTGGTGCATAAAAGTGTAGTGAGGAGTGTTGTTAAGAAGATTGCTTGTAATGACAGAATTATTGCTCTGAAGTTAAAGGCAGAACCGGTAGATATACTGATTATACAAGTGTACATGCCAACATCAGAGTATGAAGACGATGAAGTGGAAAAAGTGTATGACACAATTGAAGAAATTCTTCAGGAAGATGGAAGAGGAGACACAAACAGCATCATATTGGGAGACTGGAACAGCATTGTTGGAGATGAACCATATCAGAATATTGTTGGATCACATGGACTAGGAAGACGGAATCACAGAGGTCAAATGCTTATTGACTTTTGTGAACGAAATGGATTGATTGTTACCAACACTTGGTTCAAGAAGCCAAAGAGAAGAATTTACACATGGAAGGCACCTGGGGATTGGAAGAGGCATCAGCTGGACTACATCCTTGTGAAACATCGATTCAGAAACAGTGTGAAGGATGTGAAGACGCTTCCTGGGGCAGACATTGACTCTGACCACAACTTGCTGGTTGCCAAGTTCCGAACCAGGTTGAAGAAAATTATAGGATTTCGAAAGCGCAGACCCAGATGGGATTTGGAGAAGTTATATGCTCAAAGACAAAGCGTGCAAGAGACTCTAGAAGAGAAACTCGGTGCAATTGAAGGTGAAAGCGGAAATGCTGAAGCGCAGTGGAACGATATAAAAGAATGCATGTTAGATACTATCAGTGATTTGGTAGGTAAAGTTGAGAAGATAGCAAGAAAACCATGGGTTACACAGGAGATGATGAGTAAAATGGAGGAGCGAAGGAAATGGAAGAATGTCAACAATGAAGAAGGCAGGAGGAAATACAGGAGACTGAGGAATGAATTGAAAAGAGCCACGGACAGGGCCAAAAAGGAATATCTTGAGAAGATATGTAATGAGATTATGGAATTTCAAAGAACAGGCCGTTATGATTTGATGTACATGAAGACAAAAGAACTAGGATGGAAAGAGAATCATGGGATTCAAAATGTTGGCATCGAAGACTCCCAGGGGAATAGAATAGTAGATCAGAGGCAAGTGCTGAAAATTTGGGAAAATTATATTTCAGAACTATATGATCGACCTAATCGGCCAGAAACCTTAGAAGTTGAACCGGAAGAAGAAGTAGATACAGACGAGAAAGGACCATATATTTTACAAAGTGAGGTGGAAAAAGCTATCAAGGAAATGAGGAAGGGAAAGGCTACAGGAGATGATGATGTACCTGGAGATGTGCTCAAGTTACTGGGAGAAGGTGGTTTGAAAACACTGACAAAACTAATGAACACCATATATGAAAGTGGAGAGTGGCCCAAGGACTTTACAGAAGTTACAATGATTGCCTTAAAGAAAAAGACAAAAGCTACAAAATGCAGCGACCATCGCACAATAAGTCTTATTGCACATACAGCAAAGATAATAGCAAAGATACTTAAAAGAAGAATTGAAAGGAAAATAGAGGATGTACTTGGAGAAGATCAGTTTGGATTTAGAAGAGGAAAAGGAACCAGGGATGCAATTGGGATGATGAGAATTATAGCGGAACGAACTTTGGAGATAGATGAAGAACTGTGTGTTTGCTTCATAGACTGGCAGAAGGCATTTGACCGGGTAAACTGGACCAAATTAATGCAGATCCTGAAAGAAACAGGTATCGATTGGCATGAAAGAAGATTGATTAGCAAATTGTACATGGATCAGAAAGTTAGAGTACGACTGGACAGGGGGGAGACAGGAAGTGTGCAGATTGGAAGAGGAGTTCGACAAGGATGCTGTTTATCACCAATTCTGTTCAACTTGTACAGCGAATGCCTTACCAAGGAAGCTCTGGATGGGCTCGGTGACTTCAAAGTAGGAGGGCAAATTATTCAAACTGTGAAATATGCAGATGACCTTGTGTTAATGGCTAAGGAAGAAACTGTGCTACAGGGCATGATTGATAGACTAATTGAAATTGGAAGGTGCTATGGCATGGAAATGAATGTGGAGAAAACAAAAGTAATGAAAATTTCGAGACAACCAACCCCAGTCACAATAAAGATAGACCAAAAACAAGTGGAGAATGTGAAATGTTTTAAATATTTGGGTAGCTTGTTAACAGATGATGGAAGGTGTACTTGTGAAATTAAATCCAGGATTGCCATGGCAAAAGCTGCATTTAGCAAGAAGAAGAATCTTTTTACCAGCAAATTGGACTTAAATTTGAGGAAGAAACTAGTGAAATGCTACATTTGGAGCATAGCTCTGTATGGGGCTGAAACATGGACACTTAGGGCAGTAGATCAGAAACATCTGGAAAGTTTCGAAATGTGGTGTTGGAGAAGAATGGAGAAGATCAGTTGGACCGATTATGTGAGAAATGAAGAAGTGTTAATTAGAGTCAGTGAGCAGAGGAATATCCTACATGAAATAAGAAAACGGAAGGCTAATTGGATTGGTCATGTTCTACGCAGAAACTGCCTTCTAAAAGAAGCTATCGAAGGAAAGATAGATGGGCGGATAGAAGTGACAAGAAGACGAGGAAGAAGACGTAAGAAGATGCTGGATGACCTTGGGGACAGAAGAGAATACTGTCATTTGAAGGAGAAAGCTCTAGATCGCATTAAGTGGAGGAATTGTTTTGATAGAGACTGTGGACCTGTCGTCTTGACAGATTACTGATGATGATGATGATCTATAAGAGTTTTGCCCTTGAAACTAGTAGATTAATGTAACCGGCAAACCCCCATTTCCCATATATGCCAGAGAATGAGGTCTTTATTATATATTTATCGTTGAATGTTGTATTTTTGCCATTGTTTCAGGAGGCTACAAGCTCAGAAAACCGCACTGTACGACCGTGGATTATAATATTGGGGCACAGGCCCATGTATTGTTCTAATGACAACACTGATGATTGTACCAACCATGAGACTTGGAGTCGAGTTGGTGTACCTTTCTTGCATTGGTCAGTAACATTATGATTAATATTTGTTTGACTGAGCAGGCTGTCTCACATGGTAATACTTCTTACTTTCTAGCTCAGGAGGCACCTAGTTCAAAACTTCACCAGAACACCAGCTATTGTGGGGTTTTATTGTGATTTCCCTCTGGCCTTTCAGGCAAGTGTCAGGATACTACCTTGAAATAGGCCACAGTTGCTTAAATTAAACCATGATTGCTTCATTCTGTGTCATTTTCATTTCATTATTCACAGTTATGACAACATTTGACACTGCCTGAGTAACTGACAGCATTGTAAAATAAACCAAATATTTAAATAATAAATACCATGAAATCATACTGGTGCTGCATGTGATTATGAATCCACACATGCCGTCCACAGTGCTAATTCTATTGATACATTAATCTCAACATTAGTCTCTCTGTTGTTACCCGTCATTATTTTCATGAAAAATCCTATTTAGAAAAACTTATTTGAACTTACATTTTGTGTGATTTCACTGTTGGACATTATAATATTATATTACAGCATCCTGTTGCACTATGTAGATCTGACTTTGTATTTCACTTCTTGCCATCTGTGTACGACTTCAGTTAATATTCAAAGATCTTCTTCCCTTTATTTTATATCACTACATCAGAAACACCTACTATGAATGATCATTATGACTGACTGCCAAGCAGCAAGCTACTGCTCCTACAAAAACTTTCAGGACACCCACACACTGAACCACAGAAAGATCAACAAATCAACAAAACAAACCAAACATGTGCCTGGTAACAACAGGATAAAACATATAACCTAGAATAGTCAGAGGCAATTCACAAAAGAACAGCAGAGCAGCAGATTCCTTCATCACAACTACTGTCACACCTGATGATGGACAGTTAGGCACAAACATGTAGTGATATATACAATAAAGAGGAGACAAATAAATATTAACCATAGTTGTGCATAGGCAGCAAGAAGTAGAAGATGAAGTCAGAATGGATGTTATGGTTGGCCCCTTGTAAATAAATAAAGACACCATATAATCTGAACTGTTCAGAGGGTTATTAAATGAACCATAAATAGATATTGTACCAAAGCTCTTGTCTGGATATAGAATCTTCAGGTCTTATTTCATCTACTTTCAGGTTTGGTATGGAAAAGTTGCTGTATGACTATGGTGTCGACTTAGCCATCTGGGCTCATGAACATTCATATGAACGTTTGTGGCCGTTGTATAATTATAAAGTTCAGAATGGAAGTTATGCAGAACCATATCACAACCCTCGAGCTCCTGTTCATATTATAACAGGCTCAGCGGTAAATATGATTATGACCTCCTCACCACCTCCATCATCATCATCATCATCATCATCAACATCATAATCATTTGTATGATGCACTTGTATCAGACATTACTTAAGAGATATTAGACCACTGATTGTTTATTGTTTCATGTAAACATTCCTTGAAGCTAGTCAGTAAGAGAGTAAGAGGTCAATAATGGAAAAAGATTTAATGGGAATGCTGTATTTATGTAAACAGGGTTGCAGGGAGCTACATGACCTGTTTGGTGATCAACCTGAATGGTCAGCATATCGTTCCCTTGAATATGGTTACATGCGTTTGCGTGTTCACAATGCATCTCACTTGTATACAGAACAAGTGGCAGTTGACAAGGTGAGAAACCTAAAGAATACTTCTGAAAACGTGTATGTTCTTTAAAAATAGCTGCACTGAAATGTACCACAAAAGGAAGGAAGTCAAACTCAGTCACTTCAGTTTTGCTAAGGTTTGATTTAAGATCTATATGGTATATTCCTGATTATCCATGCAGAGTAAAGATCCTTAATCATTTGCCACCAAAAATCAAATCTATGTCTAATGACTTGAAAAATTTTAAAATTCAGTTGACAACATTTTTATTGCAAAACTCTTTTTATACATGTGATGAATGCTTTAGTAACAAATTTGCCTAAAAATAAGGATAATAGCATAAACAATTTTAATATTGCATAATTTTATGTATAGTGATGTAAGACTGTTTTTTTATATAAATTAACACTTTTTTTTTATCTATTTTAATGATTATAAACTGTACATATATGAAGAAAGTCGTCTTCTGGGTTTAGGCACCGTGTACATATATATTTATATTTGTATTGTACTATATTAATTATGTGACTGGTTCTATATCTATGTATATGGATTTATGGAATATACATTAAATGAATGAATGAATGAATGAATGAGTTTGTCTGATTTGCAGATTATCCCTGTCCCTTTTTAGGTATGTTCACAACCTTGCACAGTGCCTGTCAGAATTTTTGAGTCCCTTCATCTATTCATCTCTGTCTGTAAACTAGAAATAACTCAAGAACTGCAGGGTGAATTTTCATAATATTTGATATTGAAGAATTTTTATGAAAAAAAGTCCTACACTTTTTAAAGTGAATAAATACATTAGATGCTCTGCATATATTTCCAAATGTATATACTGAACAGTTACCTTGGGGTCACAATCACAGTCCAAGATTGCTGTGATCTTTCTGATTAAGACAGCATGTAGTTGGTACATAGGTAGAAGATGGACAAATACATTTCCTCCATCTTCTGTCTTAAAAATTGTTCTTGTGTGTTGTTGGTAATGACCTACCAGAGTATATGGTGTCATAACTCAAAACCACAGTGTGAATTATTTTAATATTGTGTTAGATGTTGTCCACTGTGAAAAATATTGGGATTTGGCTGTGATCTTGTCTTAAGGTGACTGGTGGTTTTTGTACTGACATTGTTCTGGTGATTAGCATACTGGTATTCAAGAGGTCCTCAGCTTGACCTAAACTATTGTGACCAACCAAGATAATAATAAAAATCTCAGTATAATGACATCTGATCACCAAATGTCTTGCATATCAGATGTACCTCAGAAAATGGATAATGTGCAGCATAATAAGATCTAAAAGTTTGTGACGACGGGACATTATGCATCATCCTGTCTTTATCTAAAAACACCATCCTGTTTATTTTTCAAAACACAGCGTTTTGGAGACTGGATTCCGTATCCATTTAAAACCTACTCGGTTGGGCCTAATCGTTCAAGCTATCTCCAGAGACAGGAACTAGCTCTTATCGATTGGGCCCAACTGTGTAGGTTTTACCTGAAGACAGAGACAGAATCCAGTCTCTGAAAAGTTGTGTTTTGGAAAGTAAAGAGGATGGTGTTTCTAGGTAAAGACAGGATGATGGATAATGTCCAGAAACATAATATTTGTTCAGCATAATATTCAAATAATGAATCAGCCATTGTCTGAGATCTTTAGAAGCTCATAATATGAATCTTTACCTGTTTTAATGTTCACAGGGAGGTGAAGTGATTGATCATGTATGGATTATTAGAGAATCACATGGACCATATGGACAGGAATGAATACCTCCATCTGTTCTGGAGAATGATGGATGCTAATCAACAGGACATATCATTCGAGGGGTTTATAAAGGGCTTTAAGGTGAGCTGGGAACATATCTTTGCAATTTATATACGTTATTGGCCCAGCTGGGACCTTCATCATGAATTTAAAATGATATTTACTTTTAAGTAGTCTAGATCAGCGGGAGATATTGTCATATACTGAACTGGGGATCAGACTGTGTTTGTTGGAATGTACAGGTTTTCTTTCTTGACAGTCTCCAGCTTAATCAGTTCAGCAACCACATAAAAATAAAATACAGAAGTCAGAGCAAAGAAGTAGTTGGTTGCTGCAGCAATGAGAATGGTTATGAGGTCAGACATTTAATTAACAAGATTGACGTTTTGTGCAACAGCTGGCAACACTTACCTGTTGGATTATATCACATCATAATTTAGTAGTTTTGTGATAAATCGTCACTGAGGATACAGTTTTTATTTTGTGGTTACAGTAAATGTTTTAGTTTTTTGTAAACATAATAATATGTCTTGTCAGATTGTTTCGCACAGTCTTTGAAAAAGAAAACATATTTTTTTTTAAAGATAGCAGCTGACACTGAGATTCAGACCTTCCAGAATGATGCAGACACAAAATACCAAAGCCTCCAGTATGTAAATCCATACTCATCACTGAAAAAAAGTGTGGAGGTCAAATTGCAAGATCAAAATCATATTGATATATTATCATTATTATTATTATACTGCAATTGGGTATTCACCCTGTGGCAGTAGATCTTACACTGATACAGACAAGGAAGGACTATAACATAAAGGGAACAATGCAAAACAAAGTACAGACATACAATAAGCAAGGTACACACAGTGCAAATCCAAACATATAAAGTCATAAAAGGGCATGTGCTTGTGTTCGTTTCACTGCACTCGAACAAGGACACTTCACATTACTTCACTTGTTTCATTCAGCTCTGCCTAAGGCCTCTGTACTTGCGACAGCTTTCCTAAATATCTTTCTAAAAGTGTTTAATTTACAGGGGAAAGACACTGGTATGCCTGCAGGTAAATTGTTCCAATCCTTTATGGTCCTATTTACAAAGGAATATTTGCCAACATCTGTTCTTTGTTTCCTGCTCCTAACTTTCCAACTATGATCGTCAGTACTCAGGTAGCATGGTTTAAGCAGGCTATCCCCTATCACTTTCCAAGCCAGTCTCCTGGTGTATGCCTTGTAGAGGGTGCACAGATGGGCTATCACTCTACACTGTGTACCTGATTTAAAGCGCTAACCTGCCATTCTCTGTATGGGTCCCAACACACCGAACCATATTCAAGTATCGGTCTCACTAATGATGTATAAGCTAGATGTTTCGTGTTATTATTGCCCTTTTTCAGTATATGCATTATTAAATGAAGAGCCTTCCATGCTTTTTGTAGTATATAGTTTACATGATCTGCCTATCTTAGATCGCTGCATATGATTATTCCTAGGTACTTAAAGCTATTTACCTCCAGAATTAATTGATCCCCAAAATAATATGTCAGTCAGCCCTTCACCATAGCTTTCGTGAAACTTATGGCCCTCGTATAACCATTCACTCTTTTCCCAAATTTGTCTTAAATACCCTGCTATAACATGCTCCATTTGTTTGGAAACCACTGATGTTAAACTGATCGGTCTGTAGTTCCCAATTACTGATTGATCTCCCCATTTGTAAATAGGGACCACTATAGCCTTTTTCCAGTCCCCTGGGATAGTTCTGTTGTTCATTGTTATGTCCAGCAATCTCGCAAGGTACGGAATCATGGCTTCTCCACCCAACTTTAAAATCACCCCAGGAATATGTATATATAATTTATTTTATATATGAAAGGGTCATCCATAATGAATTTGTTTTCCAAAACCCTGAAACTGAGCAGGTCTGCATAGTGATAATGCTCTAGAATTGCATTCTGGAGCTGTTCAGTTTGAATCTTGGTTGGGACAATGGTTATCCTGATTGAGGTTTCACATGGTTTCCTCAGTCCCTCCAGGCAAGTGTTGTGATAGTGCCTTGATTATGCCTCCATCACTTCCTTTTTTAATTCTTTCCACTTCATCAATCAACCTACCATTCGACACTGCTTAATCTAGATGCTGACAATATGTTAAATAAGCCACAAAAGAAGAGAACAGTGACGCAGGCATTTCATCTTCAAGTGCTAGAAGTTTCTGGTAGTTTATTCACTGTAAAAGACAAAATCTTTAGCCAGACAAATGGATTTTATATTATGACTGCACCTTTCCATGCAACACTTTTGGTAAGTGATTTTTGGTCAGAATCAAATGCCATTATTGGAACATCCACCTTGATTTGGCCATCATGTGGCTTTTCATATTTCATACTTAAAAATATCCTTGATAAGGTCTCATCTCGATGACTTGAAGGCATCCAAATTAGTGTGATAATAATATGGAAAAGGAATTTGGGAGGCAAGTACTTTGGAGGTGACACATACATAAAGGTTAGTGATTGTATTTTTTTAATACAAAATCATTCTGTTATTCAACTGCCAAACCGTATGTTTGTAAGACCTTATTAGTAATTCCTTTCAGATTTTGCTGTTGAATGAAGCATATGCAGCAAACAAAAAATAATTATCAAATTTTAAGGAATGAACAACGCAACACAAAATATGTACTTAGAAATTTAGTGTGAAAAGTGAATTTAGTTTTTGATGATAATTTATGAATTTCTGATATAAGTTTTCATATTAAAGAACAAATATTGCTCAACAGGTGTTTGTTTCAAGGGACAAGTAAGTGTTTCTGATTATNTTTTTTTTAAAAAAAAAAAAAAATCTAAAAAAAAAAAAAAAAGGAAGGGAATATTTAGAACTGATCATCCTGGAAGTTGGTCTTGCCTTAGGCTGTATGTTCTCGATTGAAGATAAATATCATAAACCTTTACAACATATGTGCAAAAAGAGAAGTTTAATAATTAAATGTATTCCTTGTGTGCCAAGCTACATACTGATGACAGTTGTTAATATTAAATATTGTTATAATGTTACTAAATTATTGGAAATTTAATGACTTGCCAGCAGTTATCATCTCATATGCCAAGTTTTCCATCACTGAAGTAAATTTTATACTGGATATTTGCATATTTGATAATATGGTTATGTTTCACGTGTGGTGTAAACTCTGGAGAACTGATTGGTATACAGTTAATTAATTGGAATCTCACAACCCTATGGGCCTTCACGGCCTGGTACAGGGATAGCTTTACTTTACTTTTTTTTATTGTGTTCTATGTTAGTTCTATTTAAAAAAAAATCCAGTGCCAATCCATGACATTTTTATATGTGGTACAAATGTAACACATAATAAAAGAATGGTGGTGGGGAATTATGACATTCCATTTAAAATAAAGTATATATGCTGTATGTGATTGCATAGTTGATTTTATGTTTCCGGGTTGAATAGTTAACATATATTTTTGCTACTATGTTTATATACAGAGTGGATGTTTTAGTGACATTTTGTACCAAAAGAAGCAACATTATTCACATATCTATAACTATATTTTTATTAAAAGGTAGATTCTGGTATTATAAATCATTAAAGTAGACAAAAACAAGTGTGTGTGTATGTACTAAGAAAAGACTTAGGATGTAAAAATGGAAATAAGATTTTCATTATTGTTGCAGACAATTAAGACATTTTGTGAGTAAATATTATGTTTTATCTAAATTATTTTCTTGAGCACTTATCCTACTTAAAATATTCACTCAGCTGTTTTGATACTTTTTATATTACTGTGTATGAAATATAGCACTATTGAATATATTATGTATGAACATGTTGCAATTTTAATATTTTATAAAATGGTTACAGAAAAAAAGTACTGGTCTATAATAAATTCTGGTTGGTAAATGTAAAGTTATCTTTGTGCTTATTTAAGCACCATGCCATTCTCATGGGTACTTCAAAGTTTATTTCCAGTTTTGTTAGAAGAATAAACCTACTTATCCAGAAAATACATGATAAATCTTCAAAAAGGTTACTTCTTACACAATTGTCATGCATTTTCTTGCTAATGTAAAGATATTATGCTGCCAAGGCATATATTGATTTGAATAGTACAAAGAAGAGGGTTCCAGTATTTTGTATACAGTTCTGTTATGGTTAGGCTATATCAGCAGGCTCCAAGGAAACTGCTCACCCATAACCACAGGAGGGGTAGAGGAGACAGAACCCAGTCCAGGCCAGTGATAGCAATGAATAGGAGATGTGAGGAAAACATGGACCAAAGTGACCACCTTCTATCCCCACCACAGGTCTGAGTGACCATCTTGCAGCCTGTCTATATAACGAACCACATCCTCGCCCTATTTTGACACTGACACACGTTCCTTGGAGCGTTGGGGAATACACCTACAGGATTATGCAGTGAAACTGAACATGGTGACCTAGAAGTATTGCTCTAGACTTGTATTCAAACATGCTCAGTTCAAATATCAACCTGGACATCAGCTATCCTGATTGAAAATTGTTGTGGTTTTCCTCAGTCCCTCCAGGAAAATGCTGGGATAGTATCTTGATTAGGCAGTGACCACTTCCTTCTAGGTTCCTTTACAATTCATTAGTCATGCAATGCTATGTAGTCCTGATACTGAAATCGTTGTTTAGTAAACCGCACACAAACTACACAGTATTCACAACCCAGAGGACCATAATCTGAACATATGTACATTCAGGTTGACCAGTTCAAAACAGAGGCACAGGTTTGACTTCGCCATGACCCTGACTTGGAGCTGAAAACTTTTTTGGAGCAACACATGTCCTGTTGAGAGCTCTGTCTGGTGATCTCTGGGGACATTTTCGTTCTTGACAGCTAGCAGCATGCCTCTGGAAACGTAATAACAGCACAGGATCTCCACCATTGGGCCCAACTATATAATCACACAAATGGATCTTGTCTTGAATGCAGCACTCCAAGTATTCAGAATGTAAAGTGAAATACTGATGTATGTCCTGGTGAGATATACCAGCCACCTGTGCAAGAAGTCCTGTGACATAGGTGTCATCAATCCAGAAGTAATGGACAGTTTTTGAAACTTCAAGCAGGGCCCTTGCATCTTTTGGTGTTGTTATGTACAACCAACCAGAGAGGAATGGCGGATACATTGACCCAGGAAATTCCGATTGAGTAACAAACCACTTATTTGCAGGTTCCCGAACGGGTCGAGTTCCTTGTAACAGGTAACCCATCAATAATGGCCTACGATCTTGTACAATTAAATTCATTATATGTATAAGTCTATAAAAATCAACAACAATATCATCATCCATTTTGATGACATACTGAGCTTGCTGACAATACTTTGTTACCCAGTCAAGACCCATCATATGTTTGTAAGTTAAGTTGCGATAGGCTTCTCTGAAGTTTCCTTGAACCAAATCAGAATATCGATGATTTTCATCTTCTAAAGCATTCTGGGTCACTGAATTATATCTGACATCATCTTTAGGATTGGAAACAGCCAGAAGGAAAATACGACGTATTCCCAAATGTTTAAGTTTGTCTTCAGGGTAAGCACGTCGCATTGCACTACGGGCTTCAATGTCACCTGCATGTGATGTAATTATAAGAACAGCAAAAATGGCAATGTCAGTCATGCAGACGTCATTATTTATGATATACTGGAAATGGGGAAGGTCAAGTAATTGCATGGTTGTTGGGAACAGTCCATTATGTGCTACTGGAAGGGGTTTCTGGAGTTTTGGTAAAGGGAATGTGGTACTGTCAAATATGAAACATAAAAAAACTGTTAAACTGACACCACAAATTAACAGAAAAAGCGTCACTGTATTGTGCAACAAACCCATTTGATTCCGTAATGAAAGATTATCACATTTTGCACACATACACAAAACTTGTTTTTGGATGGCACACTTTTTTCCCCTTTTTATAATTTGAACAGACCGTTCCTTGTAATGATATGCGGTTCTTAAATTCGAAGTTACACATTAAGCGCAACTTTCAAACGCCGTTAGCAGTTAAAATAATTATAAACGACTTCCCATAAACTAGGCTATACACGTCCTTTTGCACATTAACTTTATAGTAAACAGCGACTGCATTTACTGCGTGAGAGGAAGGAAGGACTAGATCCATGTGTAAATTAGTTACATGACATGTGCACAGTAAGCCAACGCCTACTTCCCCAAGGTAAACCAGCAGATTTCAGTTGGAAGTGGGGAACGATGTGACAGAATATTCTTTGCATTTTGATTTGTGTACTCAGTTTTATGTGGTTAATAACGTATACAAATACAGTTCAGATTATAAATGCTTTATTATTTGCAATTACATAGCATTCTGAAACGAAACTTTCATAACCAAATACGCCGTTCATAGAACTTCGTATCATGGACCTCATGGACGTCCATAAATTTCAATCTTGAAGCCATGTATATGTAGAGTCGTGTTCTCTTAAACAATCGGCATAATTGGCTTCTATGATATCGTATGTTTTATTGGAGAATAAAATTCGTGTGGAACCACTTCTCTTTTTATAAGCGACTTATTTATAAGTTTATATTTAATTACAGATAACGCAACACGATAACTCTATTTGGACTCCCTCCTGTCACAAAAGTTCCATTCACCAGGAGAAACTAATCGAGTGACGTGAGTGAGCTCTGGCGTATACTAGTGGGAACATAGTATCAGCGAGATCAGCGATATCAGCTGTGTGACATTTTTGCAATGGTGTGTGTGTTATGTATGTTTTCACCGAGGTGATTTCGAGAAAAAAATACTTGTCTTGTTACTTAAATATTTCCGAGCGATCAGATAGTGGCTGAGCTCTGAGCTCGAATCCGTGAAGGTATATTTTCTGCCTTTTAACGAATGTTATATCTGAATTTAGAGAGGTTTACGATAAGTAGGCTATGATGAGTGACGTATGACTCGGAGTTGCGGAAATACACCGCAGAGAATGTTTGTTTTTCAGCGTTTCTGCAAACATTGTAGTTGCCATCTTCAGGGTTCACTCTCAGGGTGGGAGCAGAAATGTTTGACGAAACGTTGGAAAACCAAAGACATTCAAGGGTGCCTAATGTCGAAGTAATACATTAAGCATCAGCCGCGACAACTTAAAAGGAATAATTGTATTGAATGACATTTAATTGGAGGGACTGATCATATTTCGTTATGTTTATGACTTGTAGATGGTAAGCCATATATTATTTTGCAAATATTCATGTCAGAGTTGAATGTACCAGGTTGAAAGATAGATTTAACAGGGATAAAACACTGAATGGTTTTTCAGCAGAAATCAGCATTTTGCTGGCTAACATCACTTGCTACATTGAAGTTCCAATGGAGCGTGTTTTTCAAGCAGTACCAGTAGACCTTCGTATGAAGATGGAAGCTCTGGTCCAAGATTTATCCAATGCACTGGAGGAGTCATCATCGCGTTTGTCATCCCGTCGACGGTGGGGTCTACGGAGACGTGCTCGATCTACTGGCAACCTTCGTAAGGAGTGAATCCTTTTATTACTATTAAAATCTGAACTGAAAACTCAACTTGAAAAAGAAAATAGTTGTATCCACTCTTATTGATATTTGAAGACAAATTGGTGTGTTCAGAGAAACATGCGTAAACTAGAACTGTACGACATTGTGTTGAAGTCATGCTTCTTCAGATATTCCAATGAAGTGTCTCTGTTTTCCAGCAACAGCCTGCCTTAGGTACCAGAGTGATGATTCCAGCAGTAGCATTGGAGAATTGATGCTGTCTCGTGATAAAGGCCTCTCCAGCTTGCATCAGGTAATGTGTACAAGAGTTTGAAACTGCTGGGCTCCTAGAAATGGAGAAAAATAGTAATTCTTTAAGGCCCAGTGGCTGCTATATGGACCACTTACTTTAACATTCAAAATCCCTGCATTCTGCCCACACAGTGTATTTATGTGTTCCATATGATTCTCACAATAAACAGTGATTATTTCCCTAAACAACATTAACCCGCTGGTCTTTGTAGTGGAGATGTAATGTGTTTCCTGTGAGGTACGAACTGAATTTATATATACTGCATTCTGCCCACACAGTGTATTTTATGATTCTCACAATAAACAGTGATTATTTTCCTACACAGTATTAGCCGATTGGCCTTTGTTATGGAGATTGAGTGTGTCAAGTTAATGTCTTCTTGACTGTGATGCTGCATGGTACGCTAGATGGATACTAGAGAAACCTGTTACTTCCATCTTCAGAATAGAAGTGCCACATCCCAGAAACCCATAATTTTAATGTTTACTGTCATACGAACCTCAAATCTTAACCTGTAACAGTAAGAATGGTATACTTCATGTAAAACATCTTTGAGAGAAAAGTCCTGTATGTGTAACAAGATCTCCAATATATTCATTTTATTTCCCAGCATATGTTTGGAATAGAACAGCAGCTCTCTAATGATGACATGTCGGCCAGTATTTGGCCTACTGTACCAGCCCCGGATGATAGGTGATGATGACTGTGAAGCAGTCAGTGGAATAAGAATTGGCAGGGGAAACTGAAGTACT